TTTGTTTTCTTTACATTGAGATACAATCCATACCGAAGGCTGTTGTCTTTAATCTTCATCGGTAAGTATTTTAAGTTCTCTTCACTTTCAGCAAGCAGGGTTGTATCATCTGCATATTGCAGGTTGTTAATGAATCGTCCTCCAATCCTGATGCCACGTTTTTTTTCATGTAACCCAGTTTCTTGGGTTATTTGCCCTGGTGTGGCGCTGTGGGTTAATGCACCAGACTGCAAAGCCATTTGAACTGAAAGGGCCGCAGTTCAAGCTCACAAGATGCTCCTAGGAAATCCTATATAGGGTCACTGTGGGTCGGAACAGACTCGACGGCGCTTAACAACTATGCCATGATTAATACAATGTAAATAGTCTACAAGCTTAGTCTTTTTTGTTATTATTTATATCATCAGTTTTCTGTGGTTCATAATTGAATTTGAGGACTTAGTAAAGATTCAATAGAAATAGGTCTTAATAAAATTTCAGGTCAGACCTAGGACTCTTTAGTATTTGTTTTTCTTATTACAGAATCTGTCAGTGAGCATTTACCATGAACCAATACGTATAGAAATAGTATAAGATGTACTCCCTTCCTTATTGTTAGATATTGTGGAGTCAGTTCCGACTCCTAACAGCCCTGTGCACAACAGAATGAAACACTGTCTGATCCTGTACCAACCTCACAATTATTTTCACATGTGAGCCCATTGTAGCTGCCACTTTGTCAGTTCATCTTCTTGAGGGTCTTCGTCTTTTTCTCTGACCATTTAACCAAGCATGATATAGATCCCTCTTGATAACATCCAAATATGAGAAGCAAAGTCTCACCATTCTGGCGTTTAAGGAGCATTTCTAGCCAGAGTGCTCCTTGGAGGCCAAGATGGCCAAACTTTGTCTCTCATACTTTGGACATACTGTCAGGATGGACCAGTCACTGGAGAAGGGTATCATTTTTGGTAAGGTGGAGGGTCAGGGAAAAAGAGGAAGACCCCAAGCGAGATGGATTGGCAAAGTGGCAGCATCAATGGGCTCAAGCATGGCAACAATTGTTAGGTTGACTCAGGACCTGGCAGTGTTTTGTTCTGTTGTGCATAGGGTCATTATGAGTTGGTACTGATTCAGTGGCACCTAACAACAACGAGACTATTGAAAATACCAGGGCTTGGATCAGGTGCACCTAAGTCCTCAAATTGGTATCTTTGATTTTTAATATAAAGAAGTCTTTTGCATCAGATTTCCTGGTGTAATATGTTGTTTGATTTCTTGTATGCTGCTTCCATAAGAGTTGATTGTGGATCCAAGCAAAATGAAGTCTTGGAAAACTTTAATTTTTCTCCATTTATCATAATGTTATTTATTGGTCCAGCTGGTCTTATAAATAATGTTATTTATTGGTCAATAAATAATGTTATTTATTGGTCTTTGTTTGTATACATTGAAGTGCAGTTCATAGTGAAGATTGTAGTCTTTGACCTTCATCAATATTTTAAGTCCTTTTTGCTTCTAGAAAGCAAGGTTGTATATCTGCATATTGAAGATTGTTAATGAGTCTTCCTTTAATCCTGATGCCAAGTTCTTCTTCATATAATCCTGTGTTTTGGATAATTTGCTAAGCATACGTATTGAGTAAGTATCATGATAAGATATAACCTTGGCACACGCTGTTTCTTATTTTAAACCATTCAGTATCCCCTTGTTCTTTTTTAACAACTGTCTCTTGGTCTATGTACAGGTTCCTCATGAGCACAATGAAGTGTTCTGGAATATCCAATCTTTGCAATTGTTTGTCATGGTTAATACAGTCTAAATCCTTTACATAGTCAGTAAAGCACAAGTAGCCATCTTTCCGACATTCTCTGCTTTCAGCCAAGATCCATCTGACGTCAATACACATCTTCTTCTGAATCCAGCTTGAGTTTCTGGCAATTCCCTGTCGATGTACTGTTTCAGCCATTTTTGAATTATCTTCAGCAAAATATTACTTGCATGTGATATTAATGATCTTGTTACGCAATTTCTGCATTCAATTGGGTCACCTCTCTTTGAAAAGGGCACAAATATGAATCTCTTCCAATTGATTGGCCAGGTATCTGTCATCCAGATTTCTTGGCATTGATGAGTGAGCGCCTCCAGTGCTGCCTCAGTTTGTTGAAAGGTATCAATTTGTGTTCTGTCAGTTCCTGGAGTCTTGTTTTTTGCCAGTGTCTTCAGTGCAGCTTTGGACTTCTTTCTTCAGTACCATTGATTCTTGATCATGTTACCTGTTGAAATGGTTGAACATCGATCATTTATTTTTCTTTTAATGCTGTTATTGTGAATTGAGTGTTAGTTTACAGATCACAGTTATTAGCCTTGCATTCAACCAATTATATTTTGTTTCATTGCAATGATTGACAATCCCCTCCATGCATCATAGGTTAACAATAATTAAGTGTGTTTCCTCTTTTTTTTTTTTGATGTACACAAACTATACCGAAAATGTATATTCATTTAAACGACCAAAGAACACATTTTGCAAGCCAGCCTTCTGCCTGCCGGCATACAGCTTTTCTCATTTCATGGGTCTAGAGTCCCCAGCTGCTCTATCTCTATTCCATCTCCTCAGCTTCCATCACTGGTGTTACTGCTTCTCTAGTTAGGACCCCATGCTCCTGCTCTTGCTCTTCCCTCTTGATGGTCCTAGGATCCTCTGTTCCTGGAATGAAAGATGAACTACTCCCTCCTTTTTGTTTCACTTCTTCTACCTTTACAGTTGGGTCAAGAACATTCAGTCATGATAACAGTTCCTTGCTATTGAATCCAATGGATCCTATCCCCATCCCCTTTTACCAGACTCATCTAGAAAAGAGGAAAACTGTTCAGTGGGGATTCTACCCTACCTCCATCTCTCTGAAACTAAACACACTCTTGAAAATGCGTAAGCCAGCCACTTTGTGCCTTTATAGCTTACCATTTTTGTTAGCCAATGTCTAAGTTGCCTGTCCCTATCAACCCTGTGCGGAGTCCTAGTATGCTGTGGGTTAATGCGTTGGACTGCAAGGTCAGTTTGAGCCACTAGCTTATTAACCGCTCCTCGAAAACCCTATACAGAGCCTCTGTGAACTAACTTGATGGCACTTAACAATGACAACAACAATCAACCCTGTGTGCTGAGGGATATAGGTTTGATCCTTGATATAAAGACTCCTTCCCTCGCAGTTGGAATTTTGAGAAACTGCATCTCATAGGTCAGGTTCATCAAATTGTAGCAATTTATACTTGCTTCCTGTATCAGACTTATCTTCTTCTAGTCAAGTTGTGATCAGTAAGCCATCCAAGCTAGGTCAAATGGGCGATCATTTATTTTAGTATAGATGGACTGTTTTATATATATATATGAGTATAGTATATATATTACATATATTAGTATAGATGGACTGTATTCCTTCCACCTCCTTTTGATACTTTCTGTATCATTCAGTCTTTTCCTAGAGATGGTTTATATCTAGCCATCTAGATATATGACTAAAGGTGGATCTCTTTTTTGAGGGATGTATCAGAGAAAGACAGCATCTGAGGTATAATTTTATGTGCTATTAAATACATCTCTACATTCAACAAAATTTTGATTTGATTTGAAAGATAGTATATATATTCCAAAAATCATTCTGCTTTGGCTCTGGTAAACCCACAATGAAGACCTGTGGGATTTTGAGTTTTTACTTGAGAAAACTTTTGAAAATCTCTTGAAGCAGGGTGTGAAAATTTGGACATGATTCATGAAACTGCTTTTATATAGAATTGAAAAATATGTTGAAGCTTGATCTACAGTCTTTTAGTTGCTGTCGAGTCGATTCTGACCCATAGCGACCCTGTACAGGGTTTCTGAGGCTGTAAATCTTTACGGGAGCAGAAAGCCTCATCTTTCTCCCGCATAACAGCTGGTAGTTTTGAACTGCTGACTTTGTGGTTCACAGCCTGATTTGTAACCACTGTAAGACCAGAGCTCCTTTTGATCTGCAGTTGTTAAGTGCCGTCGAGTCTGTTCCGACCCATAGCAATCTTATACAGGGTTTCCTAGGAGCAGCTGGTGATCTTGAACTGCTGACCTTGCAGTTCAAATGGTTTTGCAGTCTGGCGCATTAACCCACAACGCCACACCAGGACTCCTTTAATCAGCATTAAGGAGCTCTGGTAGCGTAGTGGTTACGAATCGGGCTGTGAACCTTAAGGCCAACAGTTCGAAACTACCAGCGGCTCCGCGGGAGAAAGATGAGGCGTTCTGCTCCCGTAAGGATTTACAGCCTCGGAAACCCTGTACAGGGTCGCTATGGGTCGAAACCGACTCGACGGCACTTAACAACAACAACAACAACAACAAGGGTTCCAATATATAAAATTACGTTTGAAATGAGTATGTTATTATATTCAGTTATTTTGAAATGAAATTTAATTTTTGCCCTTTTAACTGCTTTTTTCTGCCTTGAGTCTCTTTCCAAAGGAATTTCTGAAGACAGTCAAGTGCAGTGTGATTTATGAGGCAGTGAAGGCCAAGTACTTTGCAGTGATGTGGACCCATTTACTTTGGGGAAATCAATGGAGCACATCAGTCTGTAGTACACTTCCTGCCTTAATGGTCCTAAGCTCGATCAATACATGAAATTTAACTTTTCCATCAGTCTGCAGGCGGTGTATGCTTTGCAGCCTCCTTCCATCAACCTCAAATATATGGCCAGACCTATTATGGATGGAGCTAGTTACATTTTCCGGCTTGGTTTTGGATCTGCTTGAAGCCTTGTCTACTGGCATGTTTTAAGGATATAAAATGTGTTGTGCTATACGCCAAGTAATGATTTAAACCTGGACATTATCTGGTGTTGGGCAGAGGCTGGACAGCACAAGATCCATAGCATGATTGTTTATCGTTTCCTCTTCCTAAAATATTTCTCATTGAGAGGCATTTGAGCATATCATTCTCCAGCGTTTTGGAAAGCATTCTGGCAATGATTGTGACTTTCTTTTCACAGATTCTATCACCATGGCACAGGTAGAGAAACGAGGGGGTTTGCTCCGGAAATCTTCAGCCTCCAAAAAGCCACTGAAGGAAAAAGTGGTGCTGATGTATGATGAGATCTTCATGGTAAGGCCTGTCATTTTTGCATAGCTGTTTCTTGCCTCCTTGGTATTTTGTCCCAAGATGTGAAATAACTTCACCCCTGCCTGCCACCTTCGTGTTTTTTAAGGGAGAGAGAGAGAAAGAGGGTAAGAATGAACTCTCTCATGATAAGGACTTTAATCATTATTAATTGGTATAGATTGTTATGTTTTTTTTTATAGTTTGTTTCCATGAGCTGGGTAAAACAATTGAAAGACGAGAAGAAGACAGAGGAAGCTTCTTTTAACTCTTAAGGAATATTTGTATTTCTTATGATCTGACTTAAAGATCCTTCTATTTTAGACATCCCATGAAGTTCCTTTAGGCCCTAGAATTCAATGATTCATATTATTAAAAGATACATTATTGTATTTTACCTCAAGTTATTGGTAGACAGAACAGTTGCTTAGACTGTCTTAATTTCCAGCTATGTGGATAACTGAGGATTTATTAGCAATTTAATTAGAGATTTCTTTGGGAAGTTTAGAGTAATTAGGTATCCTACAAGGATCCTTGTCTTTTGAAATTATGGTCTAAAAAATGATATATAAAACAGGATAATACTACAGGAAGAGTTACCATGTATTTCCTACTGTGTTCCTGGCACTATTCTAAATGCACCATTAAATACATTAGCTCTGATTTTAACAAGAACTCTGCAAAACCAAACCATAACCCATAATGAATTGATTTAAATTCCTAGCGACTATATAGGGTAAAGTAGAACTGCTCCATAGGATTTCAGAGGCTGTAAATCTTTATGGAAGTGTACTGTCTCATCTTTGTCTTGTGGAGTTGGTTGTGGGTTCGAACTACTGACCTTTTGTTTAACAGCCCAATGGTTAACTCACTGTGCCACCAGATCTCCTTAGAACTCTACAGAGAGACTGGTAATATCCTCATTTTTCAGATGAGGAAATGGGACCACAGTTGGAAGGTGATAGGACCTTGATTTGAACCCAGTTGTCTGACTCCAAAGTTCTTAATCCTTCAACTTTGTCACATGACCTAGAATAAGTAATGTGATCAAATAAAACTTTTAGTTGTTGACAGGTTTTTTTTTTTTTTATGTTGTGAATTGTGTGATAGTTTACATGGGAGAACATTAGCTTTACATTCATCCTATCGTATAGCATTTTATTGCCATGTTTACAGTCCCTTCATGCATCATCAACCAACCAAATGGTATACCCTGAAAGCCTACCGCCCCCCTACCCGCTGTCGTCAGCACACAGCCCCTCTCCCTCTCCGGGTCTAAAGTCCCCAGCTGCTCCATCTCTCCACATCATCGTCTCTGCCTTCATCGCTGGCGTGTTGACATGTTTTTGAGAATTAACTCTACAAGTGAGCTAACAGATTTTGACAGAAAATTAGTACAGAATTTCCCAGTTCAGTACCAGTGGCCATACAGGCCATACAGAGAAAGTGAGTAGGTAGTAGAATCTTATTAGGAGTCTTTCTTTGTTAAGCAAGCTTGGTATATATATAGACAACAACTGCTTGAGTGAAGTTTGGGTATGGAAAGTGTCCGCTCTAGGAATAACCTGAACCTCCTATGTAGAGAATAGAGAATGACATAACAAGTGTGAGGACCAAAGTGTGACCTTTTTGGGGAGTAGGACTTGAGAGAAAGGGATAGAAAGAATTCACTATTGAAGACTTCTTGAGAAGGTCAGAAGTGATACTTTCCCATTCCCTCCTCAATGAAAGATTCTTAGTACATTATTTTCTTATTAGATAAGGAGTTCTTAACTAATGAAAAATTAGTTCTTTTTTTTATGAACTGTTTTATTGTGAATTATGTGATAGTTTACATGGGCAAACATTAGCTTTACATTCATGGTTACAGTCCCCTCCATGCATCATCAACCAACTAAAGGATACAGCCCCTCCACCCAAGCCTGCCCCCTGGTGGTCAGCACACAGCCCCTTTCCCTCTCTGGGTCTAGAGTTCCCAGCTGCTCCATCTCTCTATGTCATCCTCTCTGCCTCCATCTCTGGCGTCACTGTTTCTCTGGGTAGGGTCCAGCACTCTACTCTTCTCCCTTGATGGTCCCAGGGGCCTCTGCTCCTGGCCTGCAAAGTCAACCACTCCCCTCCTTTTGCTGCAAAAAGTCTACCTTTGAGGTCTCTGGGACCATCAATGGAGAAGAGCTGAGAGCGGGATCCTACCCAGAGAAACAGAGATGCCTGAGATAGAGACAGAGATGATGACGTGGAGTGATGAAGTGATTGGGAACCTTGGAACCAGAGAGGGAAAGGGACTGTGGGCCGAAAACTGGGGGGGAGTAGGGGGAAGTGTAGGGGGTGGGTTTCTGGGATATACCCTTTGGGTGGTTGATGATGCATGGAGGGGATTGGAACCATGGCAGTGAGATGATATACGATGGAATGAATGTAAAACTAAAGTTCTCCCATGTAAACTATCATATAATTCACAATAAAACATTAAAAAAAAAAAAAAGTCTACCTTTACGTTTGCAACACACACAGTCAGTTCTGATAGTAATTACTCACTATTGTACCACATGAGTGCTATCCCCATCTCCTTTCATCAGTCCCGCCCAGACAGATTAGATACTACTCAGTGGAGAGTCTACCTTCCTCCGTGCTCTCTGGATCTAGGCTCCCTCTTGAAAACTTGTAAGCCAGTCACTTCTTACCTTTGTAGCCCCTCCATTTTAGGTAGCCAATGTCCAAGTTGCCCATCCCTGTCTACCCTATGTATTGAGGGGGTGGGAATATCCTTGCTGTAAAGATTTGTTCCCTCTTTTGAGCTACTGCATCCATAGGCATAGGTCAAGTTCATCAAATTGTATCAGATTACTCTTTTTTTCCCTTCTTTCTTCTTCTAGTTGAGCTCTGATCATCTAGTCATTGAAGCCAGGTCAAGTGGGTATTATCTGCAAGTGTGAGTGTTCTTGTGCATTCTCTTCTTATCAGCTGGATCATTGACTCTGGGCCCAGGAGTCCCCAGGTCTTGCCAAACTGCTGGCCAACCAGGTCTCCACCTAGGTTCACAGGAGTGTATTGAATGTGGTTGGATTTAGCTTGCAGCTTCATTGCTGTTTTTCCCTCACTTCCCCTTATTGGTGACCAACATTGGTCGCCAGTCAGAGCACGTAAGACATTAGTTCTTGGTAGTAATTTTAAAGGTCAACTCAAGGTAAAGTGATGGTGGGCCACCTTCCTAATTTCACTCATTAACCAGAAACTTCTGACTTCCTAAAACTTCTATTTGATAACCATTGCTATGAAATTTCAGATCCTAGCACCATAATTTTGCTTACATTTTGGGCCAATTTGAGTTAAGAAATAGCATATCAAAAGAGCATATGAAAGTTCTCTATGTTTTTGTGTGTTGCCGAGTAAGTTCTGACCCATAGTGACACTACATAGGGTTTCTGAGAGCAGCTGGTGGGTTTGAACTACTGAAATTGGGATTAGCAGCCCCGTGTTTATCTTACACCATCACATGCAGAGTTAAATATGTGTTGTTAGATGCCGTTGAGTCAGCACCGGTTCGTAGTGACCCTGTGCACAACAGAACGAAACACTGCCTGGTCTTGCGCCACCCTCACAATTATTGCTAAGCCTGAGTCCATTGCTGTTGCCACTTTAATAATCCATCTTGTTGGGGGCCTTCCTTTTTTTTCTCTTACCCTCCACTTTGTCAAACATGATATCCTTCTCCAGGGACTGGTCCCTCCTGATAATATGTCCGAAGTATGAGAAATGAAGTCTGGTCATCCTGGCTTCCAAGGAGCATTCTGGCTGTACTTCTTCCAGCATAGATTGGTTCTTTTGGCAGTCCATGGTACTTTTAAATTTCTCCTCCAACACCATAACTCAAATATATCAACTCTTCTATGGTCTTCCATATTCACTCTCTAACTTTCACATGCATATGTTGTTGTTGTTAAGTACCGTGGAATTGGTTCTGACTCATAGTGACCCTGCACAGGGTTTCCAAGGCTGTAAATCTTTACAGGAGCAGAACTCCTCATCTTTCTCCCACAGAAAGCTGGTAGTTTCGAACTGCTGACCTGAAGGTTGGCAGCCCAACTCGTAACCACTACGCTACCAGAAGTTATTGAAAATACCATGGCTTGGGTCAGAAGAACCTTAGTCCTCAAAGTGACATCTTTGTTCTTCAACACTTTAAAGAGATCTTGTACAGCAGATTTGCCTAATGCAATATGTAGAGCAGTTGGTGGATTTGAACTACTGAATTTGTGATTAGCAGTCCCAGGGGCCTCCACTCCTGGCCTGCAAAGTCAACCACTCCCCTCCTTTTGCTACAAAAAGTCTACCTTTACATTTGCAACATTCACAGTCAGTTCTGTGACTGTGATTATTCACTATTGTACCACATGAGTGCTATCCCCATTTCCTTTCATCAGTCCCACCACCACATAGAGAACTAAAAGCATGTAGGAGGATAAATAGAAATAGTCAACTCAGGATGTTATAAAATCCACTGCAATAGCTCTTAGGTGATAAGGGTTCTGACAAGTCACTTAACTTTGTGGATCCGCTTTCCTAAAAGGGAGATGATAATAATTATTTATCCTACCTGGCTCATTAGGTTATTGTACTTAATGTATGAGAAAGGGCTTTGAAAACTGAACACCGTAAAAATGTATGGGGACATGTCATAATGTGACAATTTAGTTGTTTAGATTTACTTATTGCTAGAAGAGAAAAATTTGAAGGCAATTCCTTAAGATATTATTTAACTTTTGGTGCAGAGGATTATATATTCATGCTGTAAAAAGTGGCACAAACCATCCTTCTCAAAGCATTCTACTCAGCTGTGTTTGATAATTTATTGTAATGGACACACAGAACTCAGACATCAGTTATGGGATTTATGAGGGAAGTTAACAAGTCACAATTAAGGGTCAGAAGTGCTCAGGGCACAGTTCTTCCAGCCTCTATTTCAAGTCTTTGGCCTTCTAGTCAAGGACACCTTGGCCTTTGCCCTGCTTGGGCAATGTTACAAAGCTCTTTTAGCACTGCTGATAAATGCCCAAAGGGCACTCTACTTTGCTATAAGATTCAGCCCAAAGGTGCTTAGCTCTAGTTTCATGGGTTAGTAAACCTAGCTCTCCAATTAAGTTTCTGGGGGCACCCCACTCCACAGGTGGTCCTTTTACCCAAAGGCAGTCAGCTTTACTTGCACCATGGGCTAGGAAGTCTACCGCTATGTCTGGTGCTCTGGCTCTTAGTTCTACTCCTGCTGTTCCTTTGTCATTCCTCAGGTACTCCTCCTGGGTCAAAGAGGTTCAATTTGCAGGGATCTTGGGGTCCAAAAGACATGCTCCACTCCTGTTTTTTCTTTGATGGTAGTGAGATCCCCCTCTTTGCTTTTTTTATACCCAGTAGGATAGCAAAACAGACCAATCACAATTAGTCCTGTTAACATTCATTCTCACTGAATCATATAGTCTATTAACATCTTTCCCTACCTTCTCTTAACCAGATCTATCAGGAAAAAGTTGTTTGGTGGGAGTTTACAAAGACTATGGTTAGAAGAGACATTAAAAATTCACTGTACCTCACATATATAGTGCTTTCCATTTGACAAAAGGATTATTTTCTTTCTCTGTAGAACAGTTTCGAACAACTAGGATTTTCAAAGTTAAAGTTGACTGTGTGTAGTGACCCTCCCAAATGTGTTATTGCATTTGGTTATGGCTAGGCATGTTGAACCTGCTTATCTTCTGATTACAGACAGAAGACCCCAGTAAATGCAGTCCTCGGTTTTGGGAGGAACTCTTCCTCATGAAGGTAAGACTTAGAATGGCATCTGTTCATTTTCCTGGTAAGTGATATTCTTCTCCTGTAACTTCTCATGTGTTCTAGATGCTGTACTAAAAATGTATTAAGGGCCTTATAATTTCCTTGGCAGGTGAATTTGGAATACTTAGAGGGCAAGTTGGAATCTCTCGATGGTGAGGAGTTAATGAAGATCAAGGACAATATTAATTGCTTATTTCAACACTGCATCCAGGCTCTGGGAGAGGAGCATCCAATTCGAGTTGTCAATGCATTGCAGGTATAAGTCTAGGAGACTGGGGATGTCTGGTTTAACAGGAGAAAGGAATTGTAACATGTGTTGGAAGCTGAGGAAACTAGAATTGCCCTTAGATATGATATTTCCTTCTTTTCTGCCCTCCCTACTCCTTCTCCGCTTCGGTTCCTTCCTCCCACCCTCTTCTCCTTCCTCTTTCTTTTTTGTTCCCGTCATCCCTCCCTTCATTTTCTTTTCTTTCTTTCTTCCTTCATTCATCAAATATTTATGCCATGTGTTTTTAGCCATTGTCCTGGTTTAAGCAAATTGTTACCTATGGTAAATAGTAATTTTGTCCGTTTATATAATTTGATCTAATGCCAAGGTAGATTGTTTGACAGAATTCTTTCTCTTACTCGAGGAAAGAAAGAAATAGAAAAACTAAGGCTAGGATGCTTACTTTGTCTATAGCAAAATTCTGAAGAAATTCTTAGTATTTTCTCACTAGATTAGGAATTCTTAATCTGAGGTTTCAGGGAGCCCATGTGCTTATGTATAGTATTTTATGTGCATATGTCCATTTTTTTCAGGAGAGTTGGCTTTCATCAGTTTCTCAAAAGAGTCTATCTAAAATACAAAAAAAGCACTAAGAATCACTGTTCTTCGTGCTGAGTGGCATGACCACGAGGAAGATTCATTCAGGAACTATTTCAGGAACTATTTTATATGCCAAGCTTTGGGCTAGGTAATAGGAATATGTTACAGATGTTTAAAGTAAAGATTTAGATAATTGCATTTAGTACTTTGCTCTTGGGGTATAGAACAGTGCCTAGTATATAGTTGACACTCTAGAAATCCATTCTTGTTGAATGAATGTTGACCAGAGTTTCTAGAGTTTAGTGGGTTCATTATAGTCTATGTTGGGCTGAGTCCTTTGGGCAGTGATTGATAAGCTTAGAATAAGAAGAAGCCATAGCAGATAAGGGGATTTTATGAGAAGTTTTGTTAGATTGGGTTTAAGTTTTGAATTTAATGGTTGAGTAAGGGACTAGTGGGATTAATAGAGTTTTCCTTTATTGAAAATTAGTTTTAAACAAAGCTAAGTTTTCTCATCTGTAGAATGGGAATAATATATACTTCTTGAGTTGATGCCCCAGAAAAATGGACCATGGTTATCCTGTGACATTGTTAACATTTCACATAGTAAGTTTTACATTGTGAGCACCACAGTTGCAGAAACTCAGTGAAAGTTAAATGAAACTTGGAAATTTTGCTTCCATTAATTGCAATGACTTGCTGTGAGTCATTTTAGTTCAGTGGGAGCAAATTGACATGAAGCCAGTTACCTGGTGACCCCAAAATATAGTGCAGTAGGAGTACAGCATGGTGCTATAGGATAAACACTGGACCACAAGGTCTGTTTCAACTGCAAGTTGGTGATTCAGACTCACCAGGCACTCTTTAGAAACCCTTTACAGGATCACTATGAGTCAGAACTGATTCTGTAGCACTTAACAACAACAACAACAATAATTGTAATATAAAAATATGGACTAATATAATATAATATAATATAATATAATA